TCTTCTGCCAGTTGGTTTAAAAGATGAGGCACTTGGCATGTGGTGTGACTTGCTTGAACCAGAAATTTCACTTGTAGAACGTGCGGGACCTGTTGGCAATTGTGCTGGCGTCCCTATCTTCCCACTTTGTGCTGTTGGTAAGTCACTCTGCAAGCAAATTGATAACACAATATCGACATTCGGTGTTGGACCTGTCATTTTAATAACACATTTCAGTACATGGCGATCAAGATAATCCACGTGAACACGTGAACACGGTCAAACAAGAAGTTTGGTCCTAGTAGTCCAGTAAATAAAAAAGTTTGTTTTGAATTCATCAATTCCCTGATCCATCAAATTTCTCAGGAATCCAAAAGTCTTCCAAATATCATAGGCAACAAAAATTGTGGACTTTCAGGTTTTTGTGGTCACGAATAATCACAAATATGGTTGCCTTCTTCAAGCTTGGCACAATAATTGTAGAGAAGAAGACAGTGGGGGAGGGGGGGGGGATAAAACAAACAATTGCCAAAGAAAAGAAGAGGAAGAGAAAAGAGAACCAAACAAAATAGGGTCATTCACCAACAAAACCAAAATTCATTTCGGCTTTGTTTTTAAGCCAGTTGTTTACAAAACAAAGGATCATTATTGAGTAAATGCTGAATTTATATCACAAGTCACGGAGTTTAGAAAATTACCCTCAACATTGGGAAGATTTGATAAAAATGCTGTTAAAGCAGGTGGTGTAGCTTTGAGAATTTCATCTAAAGCGTTTGTCCCTGCACCTGTTATTGTAGTCATCCAATGAGACAACGTCATAGATGAAACAGAAATTCCAGGTTCCGTTGTGCTAGGAAAATTAACAAGCAATCGCATTCTTGCCATCAATCAACCAGTGTAAAGCAACTACCAAAGACTCACCTCTCCTGAACCTTGAAATTTGAAAGAATGCATGTAATGGTAATCCCTTTTATCTAGTACTTAGCTTCAAGTAAAGCCTTCCCCCCCCCCTTTGTAGTACATATGGTGGAACTAGAATGACAGTTAAACACTAACCCGCAGGGTTGGATCGGCTGGGGTAGGTCCAACTCAACCAACCCTTGGGCACGTAGCACCCTGAGGACTAGGGGTGCTAACCTTAATGGTTCTTACCATGTCTCAATTCGGATTAATTTGGTTTGTAATTTCTTGTGGGGTTGTTGACTTGGATACTAGGTGCGAAAGCCAAAAAAAAAAAGACACTTAAATGCTCTTCTTCTACTGACTTGATATAATATAAGATACAATCCTATCACATTCAAAGGAATAAATGAGAATTTGGACCCACGACTTAAGCAAAATTAGGGAAGCTAGAAAGGAAATAAAACACTCCCCGAGCTTTTGATAAGCTAGGACCTCTCTTTTCACACATCAGCTAAATTCTTCCTTAACCCCTCTAGACCTCAAACCCTCCTTTCTAGACCTCTTTCCCCAACCCCCCCCCCTTCTTTTTTTCTTTTCAGTTCACCCCCTTACATCACTCAATTCCTTCTTTCTTCCTTTGGCCCCCATGCTAACCAAAAATGCAACCACAGCTCCTTGTACTCCTTTTGTCTTTAATCTCTTGCCATAACCCTTTACCATTCGGGGCCTGAAAGCTACAGGTCCATCAACATGCCATTATTGCATGTGACAAAAACAGCAAGGGAAAGTTTAGGAGCTCACGAGTCACAATGTGTGACTCCTATACTAAACATAGAAGTTCAATCCTCAGAAATATTTACAAATGCATTTAGTTTAGCAATGTCTTGTGGAAAACTGGCGACTCATGCGCATTAAGAAGCACTTCAGATGTGTTGAACTGAGGGGGAGCTATCATAACCAGGAAGGCTATAACGGTATACCCAATTTCAATAATTTTCGCTTGAATTTCCACCATTATACCTAAAAGTTAAGCCTGTATATAAATTCTAAAGAATGCATCCCGTGAAAACTCCACACACTAAAACATAGCAGAATGATCCTCCCCCTTATTCTAAAACATATAAATAACATGAAGCGGGAGTAAGAAGTTCAGGAGTATTCAGTAAGGTAACAAGGTTGAGCACAATGCAACTATATCATTTCTCTCTATGAATTGGAAATATAATCATCATGCACTTCAATAACAATATTTGGTGAACTGATGTAACTATCATGTGTTTATATGTAATTCCCCTGTCCTTCCACCTCCTATTCTTTTATACTTTATATACAGTACAAACTTGATGCGTAATTCAGCAGCCCGTATGACGCATCTAAGCTATGTAACTTCACACATACAAGAAAGGCAAGATCAAGTTTCGTGTTTTCATGTCTTGATACTGTACTTTCAAGCGGACAATAGAATATCAGATGACATCAAGACAAAAGAAAAGAGAGAAGTAGTGTCGGAATATTACGTATGGTATCAAAAGTATTTAAGTATTTATTCTCAGAATCATGGCTTTTCAAATACTGGTGCTGTCCTGTTTCTATTCCTCTTTCAATTTTTTTTTTGGACATCCTAGGACATAAAGAATATAACAATTTGAAGATAAGGATTAATAGAACATATTTCAATCTATTAATTACATATACCATCCTTTTTCAATAATCACTTATATGTTTATTGACAATCAATATCTTTACCTTAATTAGTATAGTAAGATTTTATTTTTCATTTTTGAATTCGAATTCAAACTTTGTTATTTTAATTAATAATATGTTTACATGCAAACTCTCTCTGGATATTATGATATAGTAGGAAAGAAAATAAAAGATATCAATAATAAAAAAGAGAAATTGAAAGGTTAAATCAACTATCTAATATAAATAACGTGTGAAAAAGGTAGGTAGTGAGAAAGGAGAATGTATTGTCAAACACAAGTTAAAACATCGGTATCAGTAATTGTTATTCAAATTTCAAACAGCATGGGAAGCATACCAGGGTTAAGCGTGGGATCATAAATCACCATCTTTGAAGTATCAGGATAAACAACCTTTGTTGACATTGCTGAAATGTTTGTTATGCCCGTAGACACCTTGTCTGCACGAACAGTGCCACCATTTACCACATAAGAAGGCATAATGAGAAGTTAATCGTGTAAATAAAATATAAGATTCGTACCTAAGAGGCTGGTTCCATTAGGCAGAAGGGACTTCTCCACTTTCTTATTGATATTTTTTGAAAGCCACTAAAGAGGTAGACATGAACAGTGAATTACTACACAGGACAATGTACAGACAAAAATACAGCCAACAAACATGAGAAGGAATGATTCTCAGCAATCTAAACATCATCTTGTCTATAGACACCTTTTTCACGAGTTACTGTTCGTCAAAAGCAGATTTGTCTGAAAAATAAGAGTAAAAAGGCACTTTAACCAGTATTGGAAATACCTAAATGATACTAGTATTATAAGAATCAAGCTTCATCTTTATCATGATATGACCAACATTATTTCTAAATCCGGATGGCCATATATTTCATTATTGAATTTCCTGCATCGAGTCAGGAATAATTGTAGATGTTGGTCATTATGATGATCACATCAAATCTGCAGACAATTACTGTCATTAAAGATTTAGCTCCAGATTCTCAGCCTCTTGGTCTGCTGTCCTTTGGCTTTCTTTTTATCGCCTATTTTTATGTAGTTTACCTTCTTTGACCATTTTATGGGGTTCTATAGGCAAACTTGCTGGCACGGCTCATACAAGAACTCTTCTATTTCACTGGAATAAACCAAGCTAATCTAAGCAACCCTTATTCTAACAATATACAGTAGATTTGTAACATTGATTAAATCCAACATTTCGATAGTAAAACTGCAAAGGGATGTACGAAAGCAGTCTTTGTATGCCCAAAAAAGTAGTTAAAAAACTACTCATAAACAAAAATCTAATTAAATTCCGACTACCTCCAGGAACAAACTTGAAACATCTTCGTTAATTTAGTCAAAAGGTTGATGCCACCCCAATTAAATCACATAAAGGGGGGGAATTACCCATTAAAAGTAAATATGTCCAAACTTTCTTTCAAAAAATTGGTAAAATACCAAGTATGACCTTATTCCAGAATCACTGATTGTAGTTAGAAGCGAAATTGCTATTGTTGATGCCATGGATTTTTCTGTTTTCTTTCACTTGGGAGAATTCAGGGAAATATAAAATGAGTTTCATGGATGCTCAACAACGGATGCTAATGAGACACAATAGACTCCACAATACAATTCAACTTCTACGAGGAAACAAAACACGTTTAGGAGCCAGACACCAGGAAAAAAAAACAAAAAGAACAAAAACTAGTACCTCCTCGCGAGCTAAATGATCAAGATCCTTTGAGGAGCATGGCCAAAGCTCCATGAAACTATACCGTGATATAACATCCTGCAGAGAGCTCTCTAATGCCGATGTTCCATCTTCACCTGTTCCAGAAAGTGCTTCTTTTCTTCTTTGCTCAACCTGCCATAATATTGATGTCAAGATACTTTTTCATAGAGAGCTACACAGCCTCCAATAGCAGGGTATTAGATAACGAAGGCAATAACAAAATATCTAAGTAAATCAAAGAGAATAGTGACTGGTTTAAATTTCATGACTAGTTTACATTTTCTTGTCATTGCACAAGATCTTGTTTCCAACTATTATTGCGGAATATCTAGGGGAAAACTTTGCTTTGAATACATGGATTTAGTTTACAAGAAGGAAGTCTAAGGCCATTGGACTTGGTTAAAAAAAAATCGGCTTCAGATGAACTTCAGCCCTTTCTTTCCAACGTCATAACATATCCTAGTAGTGGATGTTCGACAAACAAACCCCAAACAAAGTGGATACAACTTCACACAAGGAAAAAAACAAAACTATGTGGGAAAGTAGAAATTTGATAAGCCTAATTGTGATATGATACATATATGCATCCAAAAACTAATGTGCTCACCTTCAACATGCTAGCAAGGTCCCCGTAAGTTTGTTCAAACTGGGTGAACTTTTTCCAGACCTGCAGATAGAAATATTTAACAACCGCATTCACATTGAAGTCTGTAAGCAACACCTGATAGACATATAGAGCTAGATAATAGCATAAATTACAAGTGAAAAGAACAACACGTCAAACTGACCACAATATGGAAAATGTTATGCGTTCGTAAATAACAAGATCCCATACTGCTCATAAGTATTGCAAAAAGAAAAGTGCAAAAGTATTATACATTTGGCTATTGAACGGTTTCCAGCAACAGAGACCCTTGAATACGTGATCATTAAATTCACACCAAAGTTGTCAACAATAAAGACCTTCTACCAGGCAGCGTCATATCATGTATCAATGTAATGAAGATAGTCATACAAATATGTCTAAACTGTGAATGTTTCACTCCATGTATTATTCCATATGAGATGATTACAATGTATAGGGTCCGGACGGTGAGAATAATCCGGTTAGAATCATTCAGAAATAAATTACAATTAATGACAGCATACGATCAGGAATTTTATTCTCATGCATAATGATAGGCGAGTATCATGGGCTTTCTAACGGTGTAGTGGCTAGAAAAAGTAATTTAACAAAACCCCAAAACATCCATCAAACCTCAAATACATTCCCCAATGGAATCTCCTTATCCCACGATTTGGAGGTCTTCATCTTCAATCATTCACCAAAGAAATGGTAAGCACCAGAGCATGAGGCATTAAATGGAGTACACAGTCAGCGGTATTTCTTAAGGAAAACAACTATTTCCACAGGGGGCAAATAAGACTTGAGCATTTTATCATACAGCACGAATAGGTTTTCTTTAGGTCCCACATTACCCATCAATCTTAGATTCTTTGCAATCAGGCCTAGAATGGAGTAAACATTTTACAGCGTTTATCCAGAAAAACAGTTACTTCTGGTGAGGGGGAAACACGACATAAGCATTTAATAGTGCATGAGAAAGTCTTCTTTTTCTTTTTCTTTTTTTTTTTGGGGGGGTGTTTGGTTGGGGAACGCAGCATGCACATACTTGGTTTGCTACATTGTGGGTAAGTCTTTTTTCACAAAAGAACAAGAGATAAGTCGGTGCCAGGCATACCTCAACTGATTCATCAGGTGGAAGTGAACTTAAAGCCCGTTCAAACAGAGCCCGTATATTTTGGTCATCATTCAAACGTGTCAAGAAATCAGCATATCTGAATTATCAAGAAAGCAATCATGATAGTCAATCACTGCATAAAATAAGAACAACAGTAGTAATATATTTTTCAGAAAGATTCAACAATAACATAAAACAACAAGAAGCAAAGGATCTTGAGGTATCCCATTTTGTGAGTACATAAACAGACACCAGCATTGCTGGATGTTCTAAGCAACTTTGCATATAATGAGCTCAAGATTTACCAGCTCATGTATAATGAATCCATGATGTTGACAAAAACAACCAGTGATGTTCCTATTTCAGAAAACAATTTTGAGACCACAGAGTTTAACACCTAAGACATCAGCACGCATGGCCAAAAAAGCTTGTGCAAGTACCAGCAAAATGTATTACCACAGACCCTACTACAATAAAGATAACTAACTAGTTAAAAATCTGCATATAAAAGAAATCATTACCGACACAAAGCACTCACTTGAAAAAAAAAAAGTCTTGTGAACTGACCATGTGCTGTCACTCACGAAAGAGAAATCAAATAAACAAACCAACTACCACCAAGGCATGGACTAACTAGAATGCATGCCTGCAGGTGGTAAAAGGAAGGATACTTGAGGGCCGTACCCAAGTATAGAAAATGGCAGAGGGAAGTCCTTAAATGATGTCCTTTTCAAATGATAACATTAATAATAACAAAACAGTTACCACAAAATATAAGCGGAGGTGATCAACAAATTGGAATAGAAAAAGGGTTGTTGAGTTGGTCGAAGAACTCACTCAAGAATGTAAACAGGTTCATGCATGAATCGCTTTAGTCCTGCTTCAAAAACATTGTGCGCCATCTGCATGAATTGAGCAATTATCATGCAGTGATTCAAAAGTTTATTTGCCGATAGTTTATGTTTTCGGCATTGTCATTTGCTAAAAAATTAGAACAATGTTACATTAAGTGGAGCCCATGAAGGACACAACAAGGGCAAGAAGGGTGTTGGTAGTGTGAGCATGCCTCAGAATGATAGGGAAGAACAGCACCAACTTTTGAGAAACATCAATTGCAAATTAATAACAGACAGCTCCTTGCTCATTCTTTCAACATACACACACAAATGCTAAAGTTATAGAATTACATATCCAAGCAAGCATGCATTGACATGCAAAAATTTGTTAGCAAAACTTGGGCAGCAGAATGACTAGAAATAAACATCAGGCACATGATTCTGTAGATAATATGAACTCACCGCCTACCCACAAAAAAAAAAAGAGTTGACCTCAAGTAACTGTCGCATAAAAATAAAGGAAAAATTTGTGGCACCTTTGGATCCTTATCAAGACAAAAGGTCATCATAGCATAAGCAATATAAACATGATAAGTGCAATTTGGAGATTTGCGAGCATCTAGAAAGTACTTCCGAGCTGCTTCAACACCTTCTGTTCTTCTTAGGAAGCGAATGAACTGCAACATGAAAAACAGATGTTAAATTTTTTTTGGAAGGAAATATGTTTGACCTGTCTTTGACAGCACATACTTACGAGAATGAAGATTTTAGTTAACAAAGAATAAAATGATATCTAATCAATTAAACTAATCTGAGTAAACCCACTTTTAGATACAAAATATTGAAATTTCTGCTGAGGAACTTTTCTGTGGATGAAAGATATTCAAATGGGCCACTCAAGCAATTTAAAATAGTTAAACACATAATAAGGCAAACTTAAAGATCAGACCTGAATTTTAAAGAATCCAACATAACTTATGTGAGAAGAAAATTGTTGATCACTAAATTTATCCCTCCCCTCATCTATGCATCTAACATATTCAACTCCCAACTATCCAACAGGCCAACACCTCTGACGAGCATTAAGCATATATTCAAACTATTTCACATACTTGAATATGAGCAAGTGCAGTTGTGCTGACACCATCACCTAAAAGGCTTTCATATATTTTCTTTGCAGCCTGATATCAAACAGAAAAGGCAAAATTGTTAAAAAAATAAAAAAGTTAAAAGAAAAAAGGGTAACAGATATTGAAGCAGTTGTACAATTTGACACACCTGAATTGCACCACGAGATTCCTCCAGCTCTGCATAGGCATAACGTAGCATTTCTGAATCTGCTTATAAATGAAATGTCAAAGGAGGGGAGCTAAAAAGAAGTGAGAAAAAAAAAATCCCTGTGAACCATATTTATGGAAGATTAAAGGCAATAATGAGCAATGCCAAAGGATAGGAATAAAACCTTAAGCAACATACAATCTACAGTTGACATCAAATGAAGACAAGGTACAGAAAAATACGATAAAGAAAATGACAGTCTTAAGAACATCAGAAAAAATTGGATTCTGCAAGTCATATCCACACTTTTATAACCATATAATTTCATACTGTAAGCAGCATGTTTTATTCTTGCAGCAGGACTTTGAGGATGCGTGTCCAAAAGTCTTTTAAAAAAAGACTAAAAGTTAAAGTTGCAATTAAAAGTTGAGATATGGAGACAATAGTAAATCCATTTTGAAACTAAAATTAATGGAAGACAAGGACCACACACCAGGGAGAGCCTTCAGTGACCGCTGAAAAACTTTGATTGCAGCATCTATTGAACCACCTTTTGCATGCCATGTTGCATAATCATACCATATATCAGGATAATGGTACAGATACATCAGACACTGAATACCAGGAAAATGCAGTAAGCAATCCCATAAATAAAAGGACAAATAAATGGAAACATCATAAGAGCAAAAAACATGATTAATAATGTTGTTAATACCAAATCTCAACAAGGGAGAGGTTTTATTTCCTCTCAGTGGATAAATTAACTGTAAGTTAAACGGAAATGCTTCCTATGGACAAAATACTATTAAGTAACTAGTTCTCTACAAACTAGGTCAATAATGAGTAAAGTCATGATAAATTTGTTCATTTATTGCAACAAATTACAATGCAGAGTCTGTACAAAAGAAATCATTCTTGTGGACTTAATAAAATTTGATGCAGATGTCTACAACTTACTTAAAACCGTGAAAGTATTATAGCAAATCCAACTTGGATTGGGGAACGTCCTGTGAATGCGGAAAGTTGCTTTCTATGTATGTTTACAACTTCCTTAAAACCATGAAAGTATTATGGCAAATCCAACTTGGATTGGGGGATGTCCTGTGAAGAGCGGTTTTACCAACCTTTTCTCTTTGAGGAGATAAACTAAATACATTTTGCCAACACAAAGTAAACAAATATCTTAAAGCTAGGCATGCTCGGGAGTTAGATTGGAATGGTGACTTCTTTTTCTTTACTCAATCAGCACCAACATCAAGTCAATACACAAGGGCTTCCTATTCCCATTTTTCATCTAAACACCGAAGAGATGAAAGTCTTCTCCTCCGCTTATGGCCTCTCTTAATAAAACTGACCAAAACATCCCACGAAGTAAGCAGTTGTAACACTTACCCTTGAAAATTTCACTCTTACTGGTGCAGGTTAATTATGATTAAAAACAGCCTTCATCAAAAATGAAGGAGATGCCATTAGACAGGAACCCAATCATTCACATCCATTACAGATTCCGATTTTAGATGAGATGCAGCCAACCATTTATACTAGCACACTTAGATGCACGGAAGATTAGGAACATAAGTCTGAAGTTGAAAAGTTACTCAAGATGTATATTTTAGCATCCAGTAACAAATTAGAATCCTTAGAGACTTACATGTATCAAAAGTAGGGACTTGGGGTTATGTTGGCAATAATTACATCTATTAAACAAGACCAAAATACACTGACAACAGACACAAACATTCAGATGAAACATGTGAAAATACCGTATCAGGATAGAATTTATTCCCCCGGGGGGGGTTAAAATGAAGGGATAAAATTAATAATAACTAAGTATATTTCATATTACCTGCTCATAAGTAAATATGATTCGCTTGTTTGAGGAAACAGTATCTATTCTCTGTGGATTTCCTCTGGAATGCAGAATGATTAATAAGAAACTTTTCTAATTACTTAATGTTAGTCACATAGATCAGCATAAATTACCACAAAGATAGAGAAATGAAGATGGCAAGCCATGAAATTCATCTAATAGCTATTCTAAATGACCTTTTTATTTTTTTTTTGCGAAAAATATGTTCTATTGACTGCCGAACTTGGCAGCTGTAAGATGATTCTTTGTGAGTTTCTTAAAAAAAATCTTTTAGATAAACCAAATTGTTGTCCTAAGTCCATAACTACAACATTAAAAATAGTAATCGCCCTTTAGAAAATCAATAGCACTACTCCAGGGAAACTTCAATGATTAAAAAGTAACCAGAAAACTGAAAAATCAATAGACCTTTCACTTATCCTCTCTTCAGTAGTAAGGCAAGACAGAGATGATATTGAAAAAGTTGCTATAAAGAATGAAATGTTGACCCATATTTGGAAACATCATAACGCAAAGCAGCAAGATCCTCTTCATTCTCAAAGGGTTAAGGTTGCATTCCTGACTTTCTGGCGGGTTAAGGCTGATGATGGTTTGAGGGGGTAAATTAACTGGCTACGCAAAGGGACCGGAATGGCCAATCTCAAAAACAGAATCCCCCCCCCAAAAAAAAAAAAAACCCTTTCTGTCATCTGTGCTTAATAGGCAATTTATGCTACCTTTTATTCGCTCTACATCTAAATAAAATACTCTATTATAAAAAAGCAGAGGAAAAAACCTTTATTAGCGTACACAAAACAAAGGCATAGAATATTTAATCT